TGTAAACAAACGACTTTAATGCGAATTCATCGCTTACTAAATTTTCCTCATTGCATTTCTTTTTATTAGAACACTTCTATATATTTATAAAAAAGTAAATACCGATATCGTGAAATGAAATAATGTGTCAGTAAAGCCTTCACAAATATAGACTTAACATTAATATCTAGTTATAGCCCCAATTCTGAAGTACAGGCACATCTCTATTGCTGGAATTGAATTGAATTGGATAGAACAGAATCCACCACGCGAGTGTAAACGATTGACGTGCCTTCCAAAGCACAGATGACCTCGAGACAACAAATTTTTAATCACCCTATTGACCAGCCCTTGCAAAAATTGCTTACTTCCGCATAACAGACTGACCACGCTAACCAATGCACCATAGTTGTAATGAACCACGAACAAATGTTGTAATGGAAACAAATGAGCAAATGACTAACACTTGCGGTAGTGGTATTTCCCCAAGGGAAGCATTACAAACCAAAGTGTTTTCCCCAATCCTAATCTAATAAAAACTAAAACAGTTCCAAAATAGTTTTTTTTAAAAGCTTATAAATACCTATAATGCTTTATAAAATGTTCAGATACATTATTTACCTACAAATACATTTTCAAGTATCTTATATTATTAATCTTTTGAATAATAATTTATCATCATGACCGACCGGTCAGTCACCGAGATCTGTCCAACGAAGGTCATCAAAAAATATAAGGTCAAAGTAAACTTCTCCTTACTTATATTCTTAAAATTATCGTACCTATAATACTTAAGTAAACTCTATGTTTATCCAATTTTTAGTTAATAAAATATGAAACTTAAATTAACTTATTATACTTTTTGGGACTTAAACTAAATTTTGTGTAATTATTTGATTGATATACATATTTATCAATTACAATATTCTTAATATTAATATAGGTACTGAAATGAACCAAAAGTTAATCAAGGTTCTTACCTTGCATTCCGATAAACACAGCTGTAACGATAAAGATTATAGCGAAACTGATTCTGATGAATTTCATTTCCTTTAAGATAATAATAAATCACTTGGAATTCCAACAGTTTCTCGATTGCATAAAATATATTGAAGAGGAACTTAACCACACTACAAACACATCTGTTAACACTCGGAATGTAAAACGAATAATTATTAAAACTCAATAGCACACATTACGCCTGAGTTATATTGAAACATGTGGAGATGAATTTATCCACGCTCAAATATAAATACAGAATGAGTGAGTCACCAACACAGACAAGAGACATCTAGTGGGCAATGAAGAAAATAACAGAAAGTGGTTACAATTTATAACTTATTAAGATTTGCTAACGTAATCCTTTTAATATTATAAATGCGAAATTACGCTTGACTGCCCAAATCGTGAAAAAACAGATTTAATTTTGATACACACGTTGTTATATATGGTTATAGAAATATTTTTACTCAAAAAGAATTAAAATTGTTTACTTACTGAGAAATAGAACACATATAAATAATTATAACACTGAAAACGTGACGTACACGGTGTTATATCAGTCGCAGTCCACAATTTTATCTACCATATGTTTAAAAAACATTATTAAGAAAAACGTTACTTCTTATTATGAATAAAAATACACGCAGATCTCGAAGGCGCTGTAGTGAGCATGTTCGGCGTCTGGTCTGCAGTCTGCAGTCCATTTCACACTGGGCTCACGTGATAGGTTATGGCCCGATCCAATTATCTCATTCCACCCATAAAGAAGGCTTGTGTCCCAGCAACATAATTAGGCTAATGATGGAAAATACAATAAGATCATCCGGAGCTATTCTAACAACTTAAAATTAATGTGAAACTTGTAACTATAACTTACCGTTAATGTTATTTTTATGTATTAATTTATTTTATTTATTACACATGACAGAATTACAACAAGATGCATAAATAAGCAGATAAAAAAGTGATCAAACAGACGTAGGCTGCAATTACACAAATATGCGTAAACATATTGACAAAACGTAAAACCTCATTATAATAATAATATATACATTAAAAATATATAAAAAAACAATAAAGATAATTAAGATAATAATAAACAAAAGATGGATAAGACTTATGATTTAAAATTTCAATAAAAATAAATTAATAATATATTTCAGTAAATAATTAAGTTGATAATAATAAACAAAAAAAACTCATTAAAATTGTAATTTAAAATTCCAATAAAAATAAATAAATGCGAAAAAAAATAGAATTTAAACAGCGCTTAGTGTTGTTGTCTTTCTTAAAAAGTATTTCCAACTATAAGAGATGAATGGCAGATGTCAGGCTCACCATTAAGTGGATCCAACAACGCGTTATACTAACGGCACATTCTATAAGTATATAGGGTTATGGAAGGACACATTATAATTAAGAAATGGGACCGCGAAGGGACATTCTCGTCTAGCAGATCTGTTAGGGACTCGGAAGCCTATTTCTGATAAGACACTTTTACTTGAAGGCTATATTTGAAGGTTGTGCATTATTAATGATAACATGCATGAGCTAAAACAATAGAAAGTCTATAAAATAATATCAAATTGTTAAAATTCTATCTTAAAGCTCATGATCACCTTTGCCCCGTAGGTAGTAGTCACTTTGGGTGACTTTGTCTTAATACTTATCGAGTTAATAGTAAACATTTGGTCCAATTAAATGTATTTAATATTGCACTTAAATGCTCCGTATTGAAATTTAATTGTATAAAAATTATTTAAAGCACCATTAGGTCATCAGTGTAGCATGTATATAACTATACGCATAGGATATTTACGAATACCTATACGGGAAATAATGTCACGTTGGCCAACCAATCCCCTTTACCTTCCATATCTTCGAGAGTCATCGCTAACAACGAACTTAACTCTTTCCGTATATTTACTTTTACATAATAAAACGATTAAGCACTATCAGTTTACGTAAAAATTTGCAGATAAAATAGCAATAAAATAACATATTTGTCAAAAATTTTTATTTTACAATAAAATATTTACGCTTCGGGGTTTTAAATAGTGAATATTAATCATCTATAGTATAAAAAAAACGCTTCCCACTATCTGTACGCTCATTTTTTTTTTAACTACGCAACTAATTTAAATGTGGTTTTCATCAACACAAAGTGATTCGAGAGAAAGACGAAACCGTAAACAATAGCAAAAAATGGGATCAAGTAACTCAATATAAGGTACGAGTATATATTTTATCTGAACTTTCGCAAGCTATTAAGTAAACTTATTAGGAAACTGAGGTAAAGATCCTCTATTACAATCTTAATAGATAATCTTTATCTATAGTAATATGCTTGCAATACCATACCTTAGTTGTTTGATAAGTGCGAAAATGAGGTGACCCAATGCAATACCATATAAATATATGTAAGTACTTTAACTACAGCAAAAGAAAAAATCTAATCTTAATTACACAAACTTATCGATTTCTTACATAGGGTTATATGCATCAATATAGGATCGTAATAGTGATAACTTATAACTTCAGAACAGAAGCTATATATTAATAAAAATGCTGTTACTCAAACTAGACTAAATTTAGCTTAGTCCTGACAAACTGCGTTTCTAATTATGACAATAACTGAGATAACAGAACTAAAATTAGGCTGGATTGCACTCAATGATAACGATCATAGTTAAGGTTTATGTCAAATTTGGCAAGAACTGTCTCACTGACTTTAACATTGACAGCGGAGTGCGTTTCACCATCCTCTTTCTTGGCACAGTTAAACAATAACTTTAACCAGCGAAGCTTGGTTATAGAACTAACCAAGCTTCGTTTGTTCTATAACTAAGCTTCAGTTAACAGTTAAAATTACCTCGTCTAACAATTACCAAATGGTGCAACTGATTATTTGCTTAACCGGTATAGTAGCATGTTTGTTATTGCTAAAGTAAGTTGGTTTAATCTAGACCTATTATATTATAGTATACAGGAGTATAATTATCTTTCTTTGATTACATGTGACTATTAAATAACTTTAAAACTAACTCAAATTAAATTTTTATAATGTTAATATATCGTAGTTAAATTTAATGAGTGATACAACAGAATCGATACCATTGGATCTAATATAATTATCATAAAAGTTTTGACCGAGTAATCGGTCATCCTATACATCCGAAAGACCCGAGACAACTACAATATTAACAGCCCGTTGCACAAGCATCCATTAACGATACAAAATTGATATTCATTAGAGCGTAAAGGCGTTGTTAAACCTTAATGGACATTTGTAAAACTGACCGTAAATGACATAAAATTACATTATACTTGTATAAATATAAAAACTTAAAAGTTCGCCATTGCGGATTATGTTTTCAAAAATATATTAAATGTTTATACATATCAAATACATATAAAGCATACAAACATTATTTTATTCATTTATAAGAAAATCACAAATAAAACAGAGATTAAATTTAGCTATTTTTGCATATAATAATGCCGTTACAATTGAAATGTGGGACATCTTAAAAATAAAAAGAACAAAAAGATCATGATGAATATAACTGCTTTAACTCAAGAAAATGAGTTTCACAATATGGATCAGATGCTTATAAAAACACTTTTATGACAAAGGTTATAAGATATTCCAAATAAGACTTAAATAAATTATAAATCGGCAAAAATAAGTGGATTACCAGCGTTCATTCCGAGATGAAATAGTTATTTGAATGAGCTTAAAAAACAAAATTACATTTATGTATATTTACACATCGGACCATTGCAAAATAAAGTGTTAAATTAATTCACCATTCATAAAATTATTCTTTTAGTAGCTTTAATTAAAAGAAATACCTAACTAATAAATCCATGGCAACCCTTGGTTGTTGTCAACGGTCACCAACTTCAGGAGTGATTCATTTTTTATCAGCGTCTCTAGGTGAAGTCCCCGTGTGAAGCGCTCCCGTATATAAAAGCAAGTAACCGAGCATTCATTATCAGTTCAAAGCTAACTAAATCAAGCAAAAGATGTTGACCAAAGCGGCGATCATATTCGCATGCCTCTATACAGTGAGAGCAAGAACTTTCACTATTAACGCATATGAAGATGATACCAATGGTGAGAAAAAAAATATTATAATATCATCCATTTACGTCAAAACTACAATAATAAAAAGTGTATATTTTAACAAAAAAAAACTTATAGCATCACCGCTAAAATTGTGATTGGTTGTTTTAAAATAATGTTTCTTTTTTAATCTTAGTCTGCAATTATTATTATACAATAAGATTGATAAGAGATTCAAAAATAAGTTGTATGATATAATCGGATCCAAATGACGGTTACTACAATTTATACTATAAAGCTGCCAATTTCATCCTCAGAAATAAACAATCTATCAGATGGCCCAGTAGAGATGTCCGTCGGTAATTGCATAAACTCAGAGTGCAACACATTTTGTCGACGTCGGGGATTCGCTCGTGGAGTGTGTATCAGCAATAACCAGTGTCTGTGTAGCGCGCGTCTTATGCAGGACGCTAACCTGGACGATGACATCACTTTAGGTATAATTATACATTTCAAAACATATATTACATAGTTAGTAGTTATCAGCATTCCTGTGAGTTGGGGCTCAGATCGCTTAGCTATAACAATAGATCAATACCTATAACAATAATTTATTTATTATCAAAAATAATTAATTAGCATATACTGACTTACCAACATTACTGCTCTAGTTAAAAAATAAATTCGTTAAAAAAATGTAAGTCACTATTCAAATCCAAAAAAAACCAATATAACAACGCCCAAAAATTAGACGTATCTAATTAATTAAATTCTGCTAAGCATGAACTTCAATTCCCATTATATTGGATTCATTCTGTAAGGAATCAATAGCAATTTCAATGTACTTTCGTAGCAAATGGAGAAGCGGTGAACACGAAAGCCCCTGAAAGTTGCGACCTTCGTTGGTGCGAGCAAAATTGTCGCCGTATGGGTTTCCCTGGTGGAGTGTGTGTCAACGGCCGCTGCAAATGTGACATACGTTACTCTGATAACATACCATCAACAGAATTAAGTTCTGGTAAGCGTGAACTAAAATTCCAAATATATTAAATTCATTTCTGTAGGGAATCAGTATCAATTTCAATGTATTCTTATAGAAAATGGAGAAGTGGTGAACACGAATGCCCCTGAAAGTTGCGACCTTCGTTGGTGCGAGCAAAATTGTCGCCGTATGGGTTTCCCTGGGGGAGTGTGTGTCAACGGCCGCTGCAAGTGTGACATACGTTACTCTGACAACATACCATCAACAGAATTAAGTTCTGGTAAACGTGAACTAAAATTCCCATTATATTCAATTCATTTTTGTAAAGAATCAATATAAATTTCAATGTACTTTCGTAGCAAATGGAGAAGCGGTGAACACGAAAGCCCCTGAAAGTTGCGACCTTCGTTGGTGCGAGCAAAATTGTCGCCGTATGGGTTTCCCTGGTGGAGTGTGTGTCAACGACCGCTGCAAGTGTGACATACTTTACTCTGACAACATACCATCAACAGAATTAAGTTCTGGTAAGCGTGAACTAAAATTCCAAATACATTGAATTCATTTCTGTAAAGAATCAATATCAATTTCAATGTATTTTCATAGAAAATGGAGAAGTGGTGAACACGAAAGCCCCTGAAAGTTGCGACCTTCGTTGGTGCGAGCAAAATTGTCGCCGTATGGGTTTTCCTGGTGGAGTATGTGTCAATGGCCGCTGCAAATGTGACATACTATCTCAATACAATTCTGGTAATACCTTAAACATCATATAAGAAAAGTTAATGCTTAAAACTAATACTAATAAATACCTATCATAATAAATAAATATTTAAAACCTTATAAGTTACTTTCTTTTGTTTAAACATATTTTGTCAAGGATTTAAAACTATAAAACTATCCACAGGAAAAGACTCTTTGTCTTGTAACGTTGCGTTAGAAGCAGAGTCACTCACAGCATCCGTCCGAAGCTGCATAAACTCACAATGCAACGATCTCTGCCGCCGCCTAGGATTTGCCAACGGCGTCTGCATGAGCGCCACTGAGTGTCGATGTTCAGGACGCTTGCCCAGAGATGCTTCTTTTAATGACGCTGCACCAGGTACCCACAATTATTTTTGGTCATCAGTTACACACGGCCCACAAACTGAACAATCACTTCAACAAAATTATGCATGTCACCACTATGTATATTTTTTGGATAGAATACTTGTACTATAATACCAGGAATTAGATTTATGATTTATTGAATATTATTTGTTTATAAATTATTTAGACAATAATGAAGCGGCGGACACGCCAGCACCTAGAAGTTGCGACCAGCGCTGGTGCGAGCAAAACTGTCGCCGAATGGGTTCCCGTAGCGGAGTGTGTGTGAATGACCGATGCAAGTGTGATATACTATACTCTGACAACTTACCATCGTCAGAATTAAATTCTGGTATGTATAAACTAAAATTATAATAATATAGTTAAAATATTACAAGTCGATAATAGCAGCTGTAAAAAAAATATCAATATAATAAGCGAATATTCATTGATGCATTAACGAAGGCACCAATGACCTATGAGATAAAATTTTTGGTCTAGATATCACCCCCATATTACTTAAATAAAACAAAAATGAACTATTATCGTGTGGATCATATCATTCTAGTCCAAAAATAGCAATACTTGGTTTTAAGTACTAGTTAATTGAATGTCAATATGAAGTTTTATAAGAAAAGCTGTCAGCACTATAAACTGGTTACTCTAGATGAGCGATGAATAGGTAGTAATAGACATGAGATTGTTGCATCATCTGTGGAGACAGGACTGTTACGAACTTTAAAAGATAGTGGCGTTAAGGGTGCGGTCGCGCCGCACCCGTTATACTAATTTATTCGCAATTCCTCTCCATTGCACGAATTATGATCAAAACGGCGAGATTACACAAATAATCAAATTCTGATATTTATGCATTAAATGATAACAAAAAGAATCATATCCAGACCGTTTCGAAGTCTTTGTGAGTGTGTAATGTGCTTTACATAGGTAATATACCTATTATCAAAAAATATTTTATTTAGTTGTACCTATGTATATGTGTACTGTATGTCTGTATTAATGGTATATATATTATATATGTTTATGAAAAAACGTTTTCATATTGATATTTGATTTGGCGTAATTAAATTTGCCAAATATTGTTTCAGGCTAAGATGGCTGTATATTATTCATCTATACAGATAAATAAAATTTCATTTTTGTTCCACAGATAAGGACAACTTGTCCGATGAGATTGCATTCGATACCTCTGTCCGTAGCTGCGTAAACTCAGAATGCAACGATCTCTGTCGCCGCCTAGGGTTTGCTCGAGGTGTCTGCATTAGCTCTACTGAGTGTCGGTGTTCAGGACACTTGCCGATGGATGCAATTCTCAGAAATGTTGGGCCAGGTTCTGCAATAATTTTGTATCACCAGTTATAATAAGTAATAATACTACAATCAATACATACTATAACAGTCATCGTAAATTATTTAGTAACGTTAGTGGTATACTGAATCGGACGCATAATTCCAATAAAGCCTAGTGCCTCATGAACCCGAGACTGCAACGCTTGTAAAGTTAAGCTACTTAATATGATTAAATATTGAATACGTGCCTCATCTGCTAAAAACTAGTTGTAAATTTTTACAACACACTTTTTTTGTCTTGTCCATGTACATTAATAATGATTTTTTGCTTACAGAAAGCACTAAAAGGGAGGACTCAGAAGCAGCTAAAGGTTGCGACCTTCGTTGGTGCGAGCAAAATTGTCGCCGTATGGGTTTCCCTGGTGGAGTGTGTGTCAACGGCCGCTGCAAGTGTGACATACGTTATTCTGATAACCCATCATCAACTCTGTTCGAATTCAATCCAGGTAAGCCAAACCTATAATAGAAACAACAAAGTCATTAATCGTCGTTGGTTTACACCCTGTTGCACAAAGGTCTATTAAAATGGACATTAGTTTAGAGACAAATTTTTAAATTTGGAACATTCTTTAGATTTTAGAATCGTCATTTTCGATGTTAGTCTAATAAAATACTTGATTTAATATTATAATTTACCTTATTATTATATGGAGTAAGAACATATTTTACATATCTATTTAAGATATTTTCGACGAAGTCAACGAAGATGTGAATGCAGACACCGAATCAGTCTTTAGAGAAGAGAGTAACGATATTCTTCAAAATTAGTTTCTAGTAAGTAATCTCATTATTGAAATATTTCTCTCAGAATTAATTAAAATTGACTCAGTAGATAAAAAATTATATACGTCATTAATCAAGTAGTAAATATACACAACACAATGATAATGACTATTCACGTAATTTTATTATTAAATTAATAAAAAAAAGAAGATACTATTACAAATTTACACTGCCCCAAACCCCAGTTTAAACAGCTTAAAGCATTTGAGCTATTAAAATCAGAAACAAAGTACCATACCTACCCATGTCATGACACCTATATTCATATTTGAAAAACCTACAATACATTATTTGTTTACAGAATATGTCTCTCGGAGTTTTAGCTGGCCGCTGGCTGGTCTTAAGAATCAGATTCAAACTCGCAAGAAAGATATTAGGAGCAGATAATTTTAAAAACTAATATTAATTATATATTTAAGCATAACTGACTTAGTTTAAGAAAAATGTTATAAGTTTAAATAAATTTAAGACTAAAACAAACGGTACGACAAATATTTCAGTATTAATAAAAACACAATTATGTAAAAATGTTTGTAATTTTCATTTAATAATAATAATAAATCTTTATTTCAGACCCAATGATCCATGTTAAATTACAAATTACTGAAACATGAGTTAAAGTTAAGTTAATTCACAAGAACGCAATCAAAATTATAGCTTAAAATAACTTTTATATATAATATTTATTTTAATAATACAGTAATGTTATAAATTATAAAATAAATAAACAACAACAAAGCTATTACTATTATTTATGTATAAAAAACCCTTAAGAAGATTTTCATTAGCAAAAATAATTTCGAAAGCAAAATTATACCTAAAGTGACAGACATTTTATGCGAAAATTCACCCTCCCTGTTAATTGTTTGTTACAAAATTTATATATTAGATAAAATATAGATTAATATAATACACATGGGTATATATAATACACATGCGGATAACATATAGATTAATATATAACACATAATGGGCTATCACTTAAAAAAGTTTTTTTAATCACGTTTATCAACGCCGTCTCTCTTTTATTATTAGTGAAAAATATGTTACCTTAGTTTACTATCGATTTAGTTTAATTCTGAGGTTGCCAGGAGTAAGTAGGTACTTATACCTAATAATCATAATATAGTACACTCTCATGTATTATTTAAATATATTTAACAAAATAAATTTTAAAATCGGTCAACAATTGGCGGAAGTATCAGCGAATACAAATAAAAAAACATACATTTCGAACATAAAACATCTTCCTTTTCGGTTTGAACTCTGTTCGTTATATGACATGTTAGTCTATTCTCTATCCAATAGTATGGTTGCCTATTCATAAGGGTACATATAGGTTGCCTAGACTTTTAGCGTATTATACTTTCGTCACTGTTTGCTCAAACGTGGATGACCAATAATGCGAGTTCAAAAGGCCTACCACGATATTTTCTCTCCCTCACGTTCTACTGTGTGTGCAAAGAAGCGTTTTATCCTTCTCCATGTACATACATATACCTATAAATTCTAACTCGTTCTGTTACGTTGAACAACTAAAGACTCCTTTTAAAAAATATTATTTATTTAGCACTAAATCTATACTGGATTATTAGTTCGTGGATGCGACTGACCGAAGCGGTGGGATGTGGCAGACTGAGAGACGCAGTCCTCGATGCATGAAGCCCTGAAAATTCTGTGTCAGGTGGAAATCGTTGGCACAGCAGTAACAGGTGCATTTTCTGGACGTAACAGATCGTTCTTCACACGGAGGGCGGCCCACCATGAGTAAGTGGACATCTCGTGGTGGTGCCGCGTTCGAAAAGACCAAATGTCTAGCTAGACTCTAACTTGTTTTGCCGGGATTTCACGAAGGACGCACAGCATTATTTATTTATAACGCAGATGTGATATCATTTTATGTTTTGAATGTCTATTTTACCTATTTAATATTAAGAAGGATCATCAGAATTGTTCAAGAATATATTATAAATATGTTACGATGTCATCCCTCTTTCACTTCAGACACTGCAATGAGTATGGTATTTAATAAATCAATGAAAATAATTGCTTATTATTATCTTTTATAAAGTAATTTACAGTGATACCATATCAATATATCAGTATTAACATACGTGTTAATTAAATTATAGATTTCATCGCTACTGATAATATTTTCGTACCGACAATCTGACCACTCACACACAGGAAGTTATAATAATTCAATAATGAACTCCTTATCACATATACAATAACATATATTCTATATTTTTTTTTAATCATATTCGATAACCCGACGGAAGCTAAACCTAACCCCGTCATACTTAAACAAAACAGCTCTTAGAGGTATATAATTATTTTTACCTTTTTAACTTTTGACTAACCCACAATGACCAACTCTTAGTTTAAAAAGTGGCCTATGATTTTTAAAATTAAATATTTATACGGAACTCCTGGTACGCACGTAGTCCGGCTTGCTCATTGTCAGTATTTTTGATACTATAGACATTAAACTGAAATAAAATACTATTCTTTTTTTAATTATATGACAAAATTTAATTGTGCGTGGTTAAAAAGTTCATAAATTTTAAAGAAAAAAATTTTATATATAATAGTAAAATTATCTAAAAAAAAAGCGCAGGAAACATCAAAGTCAAAATTATTTTAAGGATTTATTTGATTTTAAGAAAGTTATATGAATCAGTCTATTGCACTATTTATTTATTAGTTTGACTATGCGGACTGAATACTATAATTCATTTTTTCCCTGAAAATCCCTTTTGTTTATCCCACATATCTCCAAAGTCGCTGTTTACGTAGTTCATATGAATTTTAATAAATTTAACTTCAAACAATACCTACTTATTCGATACATCCACAATACTAAAATTTTATCACATAAAAACGATTGTATTAATTAAATTACTATTAAAAAATATTTGAATTATTTAATTTATGTCATTTTTATATGTTTGTTAATTGAAAAATGCAAAAAAATCCACTTTATCCCTGGCACCGTTTGGCTACCGAGAGAAAGATTTTGAAAATTATTTACCACAGTAAAACGGAAAATAATTATTATAATACTAAAGGCTATTTTTACTTATCAAGGCCTTTAATTTGATACCCTTTAATTAAAGAAAAGGAATATTTCATACATTTTTAAAAGGCGTCACACATCCGCCATTTCGAATATTATTGAAAATAATATTCAATCTGTTACTCGGGATGATGTTACAATTCTAATGATATCAAATATATTCAAATCCGTTAAGTGTTTTAAAGTTATAGTCAAATAACGAAACTAACATATATTAACCATCAGCACAATATACTGTTTTGGGCAATCGTGTAAAATACACTCAACGTTCAGTAGATACTGTATTATTAAATAACGTGAAACATATGGTTTGAATCAAATGCACTTAACGTTCAATCATTATATAACATCATATCAACGGAGAGAAGCCCACTTCTGGGTATAAGCCTCCCGCAATGATCTCCAACGTGATCGGTCCTGCGCCTCCCGCATCCAGTGGCTTCCCGCGACCTTCACCAGATCATCGGTCCACCTTGTGGGGGGCCTATCAACACTGCGTCTCCCAGTACGCGGTCGCCACTCCAAGACCTTACCGCCGCAAAGGCTATCAGTCTTGCGAGCGATGTGCCCTGCCCACTGCCACTTGAGGTGCGCAATTCTTTGGGCTATGACGGTGACTTTCGTTCTTCTGCGGATCTCATCATTTCGGATTCGATCTCGCAAAGAAACCCCGAGCATAGCCCTTTCCATTGCCCTCTGAGCGACCTTGAGCTTTCTTATGAGGCCCATCGTAAGCGGCCACGTCGCATCACTGGCAACACACGAATTGAAGACTAAAGATCAATAAAGTATATGAAATTAAGGGTTAGTTGCACTGAGTTACTATAAAAATAATAAACACTGGTGCTTTAACACGGTTTAATCAAATAATACGAGTAATAAATTATTTGGCTATGGTTGGATGACTCTAAACTTGTAAGCAATAACCGCCTAAGCTTCGCTGGTTAAAGTTATTGTATTACTATGCCCAGAAAGAGGATGGTGCAACGCATTCCAACTTCATCATATTACAACTTTATCGATATTGAGAGAATAATAATAATTGACTAATACTGAGAATACAATAAATGAATTAAATTTTCAATATCTTGTTATATAATCTGCTAATTTAATTTTAGCTATGAACTGTAAAAAACAGGTTTAGAAGGAATTCAAAAGAGGTTTTTCTTTTGAATTCCTTTTAATCGCGAGGCATAAACATCGTAACAATTCAAGATAGGCTATGCGTATTCGAGGTAACTGCGTACATATGTACAATACAAAATTTTAAAAGGATTATTTTTTTTATATTAGATAATAGGGGCGTTATCCTTAACTTACAAACAAGTGCCCAAGAAGTTTCTTAACCGTGTTCTTTAGAAGCCCATCCAATATCAATTAAGAATCGAAAGATACTCCCAAATCCTTCTTATTATGGACACTTGACTATACTAATATAATAAAGGAGTCTATACTAATATTGTCTATACAAATATACTTATATCATAAGATTTGATTGTTTATTTGTTTAGATTGAAAAGGTTCCGAAACGACTGGGACTATTCGAATATTTCTTTCACCTATAGGAAGCTGCATCATGCGCGGGTGACATAGCGTACAATTTAAGCAGGCGAAGTCGAGTAAAAACAGTAAGTTATTAATATATTATTGTGAGAGGTGACTTTTACGCGTATTTGAAGAGATATAGCATTTTGGTACGTTTAATTCCAATTTATTGGGATTAAAATATTCAAGGACATTTGTTAAATTGACTTGTAACTATTAAGTGTTATAAGTGCAACTTAAGTTAGTGAAATACTTTACTGTATGAAATTGCACGAGACAAACAGTTAAACATTTAAAGGATAATATTTGGCATCACGCTTATACCAAATATTATCTTTTAAATATATATAATAAACTACAT